CCCCCCTCCACCCACCCTCTCGCCACAAACACGCTACACGCTCCAAGCGCCGGCCCAGCACGCCATAGCCCGCGCCCCGAAGCCCAGCTCGCCCCCCACAACACATAGCTAAACACAATCCCATTACGTTAAGGCATTGAGGCATTAAGGGCGTCGTATGCCCCCTCATGCAAAATAAGATTTTTTACGCGATTTAGATTGCGACGAAAAAAATCCCTCTCTCCATTCTCTCTCTCTCTCTCCCTCTTTCCCTCCCCCTCTCTCTCTCTCTCTCTCCGCTAATAGAGACAAGGTGTACGTGTGCACATGCATGCCGGCGCACGTCACCTAATTCACTTAATTTATTTCTGCATAGAGTACGTTTCTCCGTTTCCCTGCACGAGCGGAAATCCGGCTGCAAATTTACGGGCCCAGTCAGCAAGCGGGGGGCTTTCTCAAGCAGGCGAAATACGTAGCGGACTCGGCTAAACAGACGCTCTGCTGGAAGGGAAGGAGCCGAGAGCAGAGCAACGCCCCCCATCCCGCCCGCAGCCGCGGTGGTGATGTTGGAGGGGGCCGCCGAACGGAGGGCGCGCGGGCTGCTTCCTAAGTGTTTTATTAGGTCTTTGGCGGTGACTACGCTGCAAGGGCGGGCACCACAGAGGAGGCCCACCACCACGGCCCCCGGGCGCCCTACCCCTGGCACGCACCGCGAGCCTCCTGGACCGGGGCCAAGACACCGTCGTGGTGTTGGTGGTCTCCGGCGGCGGCGGCATCGATTCCACTTCCCTAACGGCCTCACCGCCCGTCGCGTCAAGTCCCGGGTCGGGTCGGGGTCCGGGGTCGGGTCGAGGTCCGGGGTCGGGTTTGGATCCAGGATCCGGGTTTGAGTCAGGGTTTGGTCAGGTAATGTTTGTGTCAACAGTTCGGTCCACTGGCCCACCTTGAGGGGGTTTAGGATCCTAGAAACACACGCCCACTCATGCAATGGCCAACGCCGACAAGAAAAAAATCGCATTTTTTAAGCAGAATTTTAGTCGACTTTTCGGCGTTTTCGGTTTGCAAAGAGGTTGGTGTATATGATTGCGCGAGTCACTGCGAGAGCATCTCGCCCCCAGCTCGCAACCCTGCTCAGGCGGTGTAATGATATTCATTAAAACGTGCTAGTTTGTGAAGAAAACCCGAAGCGCGGGGCGCAGCTTGGGCGGCTGCAAGCCTCAGCCCCCCGCCTCTCGCCCACTGCCAAACAACCCGCCCTTACATCCCTTTATCCCCCCCCTCCCTTTTCACTTTCATGAAATAAAAATTAACTTTAAATTATAACTTGCAAATGTCACACGAAAACAAAAAGGTGTAAACTCTCGAACTTAAAAAATTGAAGAACAATACGACATGCAACTGAATTATGATACGTCGTACCTTGATTGCAACGTCGTTTGGTCTAAACAAATCGCAAGAGAGTATAACGTCATCACAACCTTCCGAAGATGTGATATTTTATTTTTTTATTCTTTGAGTGTACGGCTCCCTCTCCTGACTCCCAATCCCCCCCCCACCCCAACCGCATGTAGCTTGACGCGAAGTGGAAGTGGGGGACGAAAGTTTTGGAGCTTTGGAGCAGAGTTTCGCTTATTCGCTCCATCAAAAACATGAGAGCT